AGTTAAACAAATGTAAGTTTCATTTAGTTTCTTTTCTTTGAAAGTGTTTGCCTATATAATGAGCTCCCTGAGGTATATGCACCTTACTTTAGTGATGTCATATTTGGGGACACTAAATGATAAAAAAATGCTTGCTATGTCATGGACAAAAGAAAAGACATACATACAATCACCCACACACACTCACACCTGTAGTCATACTCAAACAGCACACACACACACACATACACACACACACACACACCACTCATACACACAGCTAGATGGGCAGAAAACTTATTTTAAACCCACCTTATATTAAATGTTGCCTAAGAGCAGTCACTTTAGATCAAGGTACAGATATAGTAATTTGCCTTTATCATCACAGTTGGCTCATCAATACTATCATTGGCTAGAAGTCTATGAGGTGCTGAGAGTCCAACAGAATAATTGTGAAGATTTTCAGCATCCAGACAGGTTAGGCAGCATTCCTACCTGGTGAACAGCTATAAACTCTGGCCCCAACCCATCTGCCCATCAGCAGTACATTCAGAGCTCTTACGGCCCTTGATCTACCTAGAATCATCACAGATTTTCCTATAAATTTTTATTCATTGCCATAGATTTGCATTATCCAAATGCCCCACCCCCATATACTGAGTTAATTCCTCCCAGATCTTTTACATATTTGTTTGTTCGTTTGATTTTTGTGTGTGCCACAGTGTGTGTATAGAGGCCGGAGAACAACTTGAAAAGTTGGGTCGCTTCTTCCATCGTGTGTGTGTTCTGGGAATCGAACTCAAGTCATCAGGCTTAGCAGCAAGTACTTTTACACACTCAGCCATCTTCTCAGCCCATCCTCTTCAGATCTTAAAATATTGTTTCACCTCACTCAACTCCCAACCTATCTGAGGACAACCTTGACAAAAGAGCCACCTTCACCTTATGAGGACCTGCCTGAAACCTGGCTACTACAGAAGTAAAATCAACCTTGGCTCCCTTACCCCAATTCCACCCAAAACACCCCGCAGGGCCAGCTTGACTTTCATTAACATTGCATTGCGGTCCAACTTCTCCCTCTCACCAGCCCTGATAATTTTCGTTCCCCCTCTTCCTGTTGGTCACCCGAGCACTCACTAATGAGCTTCCCGGTATGCAAGCATGCAAGCCGGTCTCTGAGCACGCGATTTCCGAAAAGCCCTAAGCTGTTCCAATGAGGGGACTTCTTAGCCCTGCACTAGCCAGAGGTTGGCTCTCCACGGAGGAAGAAGCAAGCGGTAGGGTAGAATATGTGATTCAGACAGTACTGCATTCTAATCATGGGAAACTACTGCTGGCCTTAGCTCATATAAAAGCATTAATTTTTTTTTTTTTAAACAAGCCTCTCTTAAAAGGCAAAAACACAGTTCTAGCCTCAAAAAGGATAAGAAATAGTTTTATTCTGGACTCAAATTGGAGTGACCCTGGCCTGGGGACAATTTTAGGTTACCCCAAATTCTAGGTTTCAACATGGTAACAGTTTCATGAAGCTTTGTAGAGAGAAAATGAAGGAAGCCATGAATCAAGACAGTTTGGGACACACTGGTGGGAAGATTAAGGAGGCAGAGCAGGGAAGCTTCTACTCTTGGCATCAGATGCTGTCTGAGGACAGTCTCAGCACTTACATCTGCGGGTGTGAGGGTCATTCCAAAGACTTACCTGATAGACACAAGAACGTTCCATCCAGAGGTAGGAACTAAATAATTGTTAAAGGGACTAAAGACCACCCAAGACACTCCTGCCCTAAACCTGCAACGCTCCAGCTTCTACACATCAGTGACGTTCTGATCAGTGGGTTAGCTTTAGAAGTTACAGCTTCTTTCTGGAAAATTTTTATTCACATTACTATGTCCCAACTAGCCCTGATTCTTTCCAACATCTCCACAGAAGAGCCTGAACTGTGATTTGTTTTGTTTTGTTTTGCTTTGCTTTGCTTTTTCTTACTTGAAGTTCTTTCAGACTCAAGTTCGTGGTATTCGGGATTTATAAGACTGTACATGCACAATCCTTTAAATTTTTAAATTGTGCACTTGTGTACATGTATGGGGTTTGTGCATGTAGGAGAAGGAGCCCTTGAAGACTAGGAGTGTGGGATCTCCCTGCAGATGGAATTGGGTCCTAGGAATTGAGCTTGGCAAGAACAGTACATGTTCTGTACCAGTGAGCCCAATGATTATTTTATTGTTTATTTTAAAATTTGCTTCTTTATTAATTATACGTGTGTGTGCGAGGGTACCTGTGGAGGCCAGAAGAGGATGTCAGATCCTTTGGAGCTGGAGTTACAGATGACTGTGGTCCACCTGACATGGATTCTGGGAACAGAACTGAGGCTCTCCGAAAGAACAGCAAACACTCAACACTGAGCCACCGCCACTGGTTCTGCCTTCTTCTTGATGTTAGGACTAAGTCTAGGGTCACAAAGAAAGAAACTGCCACTCCAATTAAAGTGTCTGGACCAGGCAACAGTGCACCTGTGATGACGTGCACCACTCACAAGAGGGAGAGCAAGCACGTGGGGACTAGACGGCCCTTTGGTTATTTTTCTAACGCAGGAGACGACTTTCTTTTCTGAATTGTTTGGGATACGACCTCACCGCCTTCCTTGATTGCCTCATTTGAAAAAAAATCTGTGGTAAGGAAATGAAGGAAATCAGGAAGGGGCCACCTAGATTTGGGAATGCAGCAAGGCCTGCTGGGGGTGGAGGAATTAAAACATTTGCATCAAGGTTTTACAAGGTAGAGAAGATAAACACATTTGCATCCCATGTGATAAATGCAAGTTTTGCAGTTTCTGACACACACACAATAAGCTAATATTTCATGTTTCTTAAAATGTTATCATTTGGGAGGGACAAAAACACCCAAAGGAGATACCACAGAGAAAGTACTCAGGCTGTGAAACAGGCAGCCTTGAACCACAGCTTTTATCAAGAAGGGCAAAGGACATAACTACAAGAGCCCCACGCATGACCCAAGCGTAGAACAAGGAAGGAGACAGAAGGAGAAAGGGAGGCTGAAACCTGAGAATTTAGGATGGTCAGTGGAGTCGGGGATCCAGAACTAGTTAAAGAGTTGAAACTAAGTAAGCCTGTGTGAACAGTAGCTGGTGGAGACTCTCGTCTGTTACCAAGTGAACACTGCAGGCTTTGATATGATACAGCAACTCATGTCTGCCCTGGTCTGGATGTGCTAGTTGCTTCTGTTCTTGTCGTGACCAGCCACCTGACAGGAGGCAACCCAAGAGATGGAAGACTTGTTCAGGCTTAAGTATTAAGGTCCAGTTTCTCCTTGCAGCAGGCAGCAGGATCTCACAACTAAGACTCTTTACATCTTGACGGAACAGGAAGCAGAGAAGCGGTGCCCAGCTATAAAACCTCCAGGCTTGTCCCTAGTAAACCATTTCTTGCAGCGAGGAGGCTTCACCTCTTCAGGGTTTCACAACCTTCTAAAACAGCCACACACGCTGGGAACCACGTGTCAAAACTCATGAGTCTATGGGAAACATCACAAACCACAATGCTGGGAAGTCTCGGTCTCCATCCCTTTTGCCTTGCACCCACCTTCTCAGCGCTGCACTCAGTGAAAACCACAATGGAGCTGTTTGGTGAAGGATGCAACCAGCAAAGAGAAGCTCACACATCCTACCACACAGACACAAGTCCTTACTTCCCCATAGCAGAAGAACCACAGCTCTCCCACACACACTGCCTTCCGGGCTTCCTATAACCACACGGCAATACAGCCTGCTGTCCTGGTAAAGTTAATGAAATGCTGAGGATGTTGTGGGCAAACCATTGTTCTCCCACTATCCTTGGGGCAGAGACATCGCAGAAGGCCGTTCCACCCACATCACCTGCAGATTCCCAGAGTGCCTTTCCAGAAGGTGTTGTTTCATCCGGTGATGAGACTGATGGGGTGAAAACAAACCGAAAGACAAGCTTCCTCCGAGCATTCCATTTTCTTCCACAGAGTCCCAGTGAGATCATGGCTAGAGAGTCAAGAGTGTGTTGCCCCAGGATGAAAGGTTCATAACACAAGTTGATGACTGTCAAAGTAAAGCAGTGTGGGCTTCTTTGGCTTTGCTTGTTTCCATTTTGGCTTGTGTTCTTTAATGTTTGTTAGTAGCATATGTTAGCCACACATCATAATGGGTTTCACTGCCACGTTTTCATTTGTGATGTGTTTCAATTGCATTCACCTCCATACCTGTCTTACTTTCCTCTGCTCTCCCTCAACTGGCTTGCTGCTTGTTCCTTTGTTGCTATTTGCTTTTGGTTTGTTACCTAAGGAGTTTGTTAGGGTTACTGACAGGAGCTTGGAGATAGGGGAGGGACAATCGTGAGTTGTTTTATTTTTGTTTCTTGTTTACTTTCTTTGTTTGGTGTGGATTCTTTTTTTTTTTAAGTGGTCTCTAAACCCAATTTTGCATTGCCGCAAATGACCCCAAATGCCTTAAAGCATGAAGAAGAATCTTCAACCTATCTGCAGCCTCACTTTCCTGCCCTTTAAAACACCTTTATTGGCTACATGAGAGTTTAAGACCAGACACCACGCTTGGCAGGAGACTGAGCCTCATCATGTTGATACATGCCCGCAACGGAGGAGGCTGCCTCAAACCTTAAGAGCCAAATTCTCAGCCTTCTGGAGGCAGGGAGGATTTCTTCCCAAGCGGCTGCCACCAAGGCACTGCATGGTCACCACCCAGCTATGGAAGAGATAAAGATGAGCTGGAAGCAAAAGAGAAGGCTGGCCAGGAGCTGGCCTTGACATGTTCCAGCTCTGCGGGGCTCTGGGCCTCAGAGTCCTAATTGAAGTGGAGGAGGTTGGGATCTGGAACTCACCTACGACCTGGCATTATTTGCATGCCAAGTGTTGCCCCACCCATCTTGCAATCCTACTAGGGAAGAATGTGGCTCCGCCTCCCTGTCACTCTCTTGATTAAATAGGCACTTCCCTCCCGAAGGCTTCTGAAGTGCAGTACCTCCCACAGCTGCCAGGAGCAGCTCTCTCCCCGACCATGAAAGCTGCTGCTGCTCTGCACCTGACCCAGACAGCAAGCCTAGGCCTTGGCTTCTTGCTCCTGCTTTCTCTCTGCCTGGGCCCAGGCCAAGCCAAAGAGTTGAAGTTCGTGACATTGGTAAGTACACTTTTCTCGTTGTTTTCCCTGTTACCAGAAAGTCAGAGAAACCAAATGTCACCTTTCATGTTTCCTTCCTGTTATCTGCTTGAGACCAGGCACTGTTCGGCCTCAGAAAGTGAATAGTCATGCAAGTTTGCTTTAATGCAGACAGCATTTGAGTTTGCTGTTGATGGTACGTTTCCTTAGCTACTTTTCAGTCACCCTCTGCTCCGATTCCCTTAGACTGACAGGCCATGGCAGGAGAAGACACAGCTAGGGCTGTTCATATGCCAGGAGCTAGCCTGGTTTCTTTCCATTTAATGATCATTTGTTTACAAATCAAAGAACAGTCACTTTCTGAAGTTAAGTCAGTCCTTCTGTTTATCATGACATTGGAGCATATATTTGTAGTGTATATTTAGTAGCACAAAAAAGAAACAGCACAAATTTCAGAGTGATTATCAGATAAACTGATTGAGTTGATCATTAACACCATAATTTCCCCTACATATGGTGTCTGTGACAAGCCATGAACAAAGAGAGAGAAAAAGAAGGGTATGTGCTGCCTGTTGTCAAGGAAAAAATATGTACAGTTGGGTGTAAAAACATATGGAAAGAGCATTTTCAAAGTTACAAGGATTTGCCCTTCCTCTCCCTCTCTCCCTCTCCCTCTCTTCTTCTCCTTCACAGCCTCCATTGGTGTCTCCATTTTTTCGATAGAGTGAAAGTTGGCCAATTCATAAGACACTCAGAATCTACCTTCATGAGTTAGAGAAAGCACACCTCCTACTTAGCACTTCAACGTGATGTTCCTCTCCTGTCACTGAGACATGTTCAGGGCATTCTTTTCTTTCTACAGAAAAAAAAAAATCTTTAATTTTACATAGATCACGATTCGATTCTTAGTCCAGTAAATCATTATTGGTCATGTGTTCAGAACGAAAGAGGAGAAAACCAAAGCACCGTTGTGTTCTCTCCCCCAAAAACCGTTTGCCAGAGGCATGGCCTCTGTGTTGATAAAGCAGTGTAACACCCGTGCCTTCTGCGGGGACACCCACGTGAGCGACTCTTTCCCTCCCATGAGTGGTCTCCTTGCCAACATGCTCATTAGGAAAGAGTAGGAACGGTGTGGTTGGGCTATGATTGTTCGTCCTGTCCTACTGTGCTTGGAACCGGCTGGCTGAATGGCAGCCTTTTCTGAGACTCCAGAACGGCTTTCCGAGTTCCACCCCAGAGCCCAGGTAGCTTGCCTTGGCTGTCAAAAGGCTGTGGGTTTCTCTTCCCTCCCTTTCTGCCTCTTCACTCTCAGTTAAAATATGATAGACCACTACAAGTTAATTCTTCCTTAAGGAAAAAAAAAACTACAAAGGTAACTCTCTTACAACTCAAAAATTAACCAGTACTGCAGAAAGCAGACCTTGGCTATTCTTCCTCAGGTGGCTTCCTCCTATGACTGGTAAATGACAGGCAATTTAATACATCTTCTTTAGCCTCTAACAAAACAACTTCTCTCTGATATAAGCCAGACGATCCCCTTCTTTTAAATGATTATAGAAACTATTCTACATAAACAGTTATATTGACCATTCAGAGAAATCCTCAGAAGATAATTAAGAGTACAAATAAAAGAATGGCTAGTCTTTTTATAGACAGGGGCAGGGAGATCTCTGAGTTCAAGGCCAGCCTGGTCTACATAGTGAGTTTCAGGTAATACATACCCCCAAATCTAGTAATCCCATTACCCAGGAGGCAGAGGCAGCAGGATCAAGAATTTCTTCATAGCTAGTGCAAGACCCACCAGCCTGGCCTACGTGAGGTCCTGTCTCAAAAAACAAAACAAAAACAAACAAACAAAGAACAACCAAACATCCACACACTTGGTTCTGCATTCAAGATGAAGATGTAAGTGAGCAGTTGGGCGACTTGATGACAGTCACACAGGTAGAAAAACAGTCTCAACCCTTCACTGCCTGATGCCACTGACCATGCCCCTCACCGATAGGATGGCATCTACTCCTGTTGAGCTCGTACAGCCCAGGACCAGGAGCTAGTCTGAGATGACTGCCCAGTTTGTAGCTTTCCCACGACTCCGCAGCTCTAGACCATTTCCTTGTTTTTCCTCCATAACTGAGGAAAATGCTGTCCAACTCTGAAAAGCTGTTTCTAGCAGAAAGAGAAGAAAATTGTCCTTGGTTCTTGGTTCTTGTTCTTGCCTGTGAAGAACCAGTTATCTGTGATTTGTTTTTCTGTTTGGTTGGTTGGTTTGGTTTGGTTTGGTTTGGTTTGGTTTGGTTTGGTTTGGTTTGGTTTGGTTTGGTACTGCTGGGGACTGAATCCAAGGTCTCATGCATGAATCCAAAGCTTCATACATGACAGACAAGCTGCCAAAAAGTGTACATCCTTAGCCCACTACTGCATTGGACACGGACGGACACACACACACACACACACACACACACACACACACACACACACCACAGAGCACACATAGACGTCAGAGAACAGCTTCTGGGAGTTGATCTCTCCTACAAACACCAGGGTCCAGGGATTGAAGTCAAGTCATCCGGCTTGCAGAGCAAACACTTTTACACACTGAGCCGTTCAACAGCCCTGTATGATCTTTCATGGGTTTTGTTTGTTTGTTTTAGCTTTGTGAGATAATGTTCCTCTGTGTAATCCTGGCTCTCCTGAAACTCACACTGTAGACCAGGCTGGCCTGGAACTCAGAGATCCGCCTGCCTCTGCCTCCAAGTGCTGAAATTCAAGCTGTGCACCACCCTGCTACCCTACATGATCTTTTAAAACAAACTTACCGAGGTATTTCCCATGAAATTGTGGTTTGACCACTTATTAACAATTTGAAAGGATCTTTTTAAGCTGTTTAATAAAGCGCGTCTTTAACAGACACTATAGATGTCAAGGAAGGAATTTACTTGTAAACAGTTTCCTAGGCTGAGGGGGCACCCACCTCCCCAGACTGCAGAGAACTGGTATTTTTAACTTTGAAGAAAGAAGATAGCGAAGGATGCCAAGTCTCAGCACAGGCCTCAGCCAGCTTTGGTAATTATCGCTCAGGGTCAGTCTTGCTTCACCCGTATACCTACTCATTTCCCACACACGCTCGCTTGCCTTTCTTTCTACAGTAATAGCATGCATCATCTTATTCCACCCGAAAGAGAGAATGGCATTGGAAAGCATCTCTCCCTTCAGCCGGGGGGCGGTGGAGAGGGGAAGAAATCACAAGTCAGGTGATCTCAGACAGACAAAAATTCTGTGTTGCTCCTCTGGGTGTTTATAAGAAAAAAAAAAAAAAAAAGGAATAATGACTCACCATATGGAGTCGCCTTTTATCCTTCATGGCTGACCTTATTTCTGCAGAGTCTTACCTGAGTGAGTCATAGTATATTCTTGGCTCAACGAGCCTCCAAGCCCTACATACAATGTCTCTTCAGTGGGATGAATAACCTCCCAGTCAATGCTGGACCAGTACATGATGCTGGTGCACCCTTCCAGGACCAGCCCATCTTCTTCAATCTCACTCCTCAAGGATTAGCAGTCAGTCCCATAGTTAGTTTTCGAATGCTGTTTTGCTAGAATAGAAGTTGAAAGTGATACCTAGAAAAGCACATTTTTATTAACTGGGTTAATAAAAATTCTACTACCATTATCCAGGTCTGGGAGCAGAGACCAGCCATTTAACAGAAACAGCTGAGTTTCTAGCTCCCCCAAACTTAAAGTTGGGGAATCACAATCATGACTAAGCTTTCCAACCTTCACAAGGTTGTCTTCAGGGTCAAGTGACATGATTTATGTACGGAAGTGTGAATGGGTCCAACAGTAAGAGCTGCTGGGGGCCACCATCTAAAATGGAAGGTTTCTAACTTTTCGGATAAATTGGAGATTATCCCCCAGCTAACTTTAAAATTTGCTGTCTTAGTCACTTTAAGAGTAGGTTTCGATGGTGTAATCATATCACAGGCTCTTCTACTACCATGCATCTCTGGAATGTTCCTTCAAAACTGAAACTTTCAAAACTGAAAACCCATTCCATAGTATCTTCTCATTTTGCCCTCCCCATCCAGACCTGTCCAAATTTCAGCTCGTGGGCAGCATATGACCAAGGATAAGCAATAAATGTGGCCCAACACAAATCTATAAACTCACCTAAGTTTTTTTTTTTTTTCTTTTCAATTTATTTTGCAGAGGACAGTGTCTCATTACAATGTCAGAAGGTTGGACATATCTGCTAAACCCCTGGAAATCATTGTTCTACTTTATGCCTCTATTAGTTAAACTCTTTCCGAATGCCTCCTATTTTTAGAAGCATACCATTGCTGTCTGTTGTGACCAGCTTCTGCTGTGTACCATAATGTCCTCAAGGTTTGAGAAGACCCTTCAGTATTGTAAACTGCCTAGGGGCAAAGAAAGGAGACAGATGTTAGACCATTAGCAGCTCTTCTATCACATAGACCGTGTGTAGACCAATCACACAGTTGTTGGCACTCATGTCTTTCACAGCTATTAACTCCAGTTTATTGCTTTTCTTGGGGACGTTCAGTTCTGTACAACCAGTGTGCTCTGTAGCCAGAGGTTAGTAGTGAAAACTAAGAGCTATCACACCACAGTTCAGAAGAAGAAAAAGCACTGTGAAGACCTGACTGAATCAGAATACAGGAAGATTAGAAAGCAGAGGTAATGTTTTGAATTGTGCAAACAGAACCCAGTGGGTTGGATATAAATGTTACAGGAAATGGTGAATCGCTAATGACCCCATGAATTCTAATTTGAGTTACTGGAAAGATGAAGATGCAACGGAGAGAGATCAGGTTATGGATGTGAAAAAGTAATTTACATGGTCCTAGGCAGCACTGTATAATATGGCACTGTAGCAGGAAGTGCAGACCCAAGAACCAGACCATTGACTGAGCAATGCCAGCTCAGCCCAGTGCCACCTAGGTGGCTCTAGATGCGTCACTTAATGAGTCTGTGATTCATCACTGGAAATGGGGCTAATAAGG